CTCTCTCTCTCTCTCTGTTTTCGGCTTGAAGGACAGAGCCCTAGCACCAGCTCAGAGATTCCAAGGAGAAATCCTTTCGAAGGCATTTAAGAAGTTGGTCGCTTTAATTTCTTTTGGTGTGAGATACCGTGGTGCGGAAAGTCTTGGGCTTCTTTCAAAGATAAGCACTAAAGCCCAAAGAGCAGGGGTGTGTAGATAGGTAGCTTGCGGCCTGAGTATATTACAGCCCCTGGACCCTTTGGGTCCAGGGCTCTGGGGCAGAAAGATAAACCCTAAGCCCTGAAGAGCAGGTAGTCCGCGACCACAGCGTTGCTCGGATGGAGGAGCAGATCCTCGCCTTAACAATGAGGATCCCATGCAGGAGTATGTACCTGGACCCTGGATGTCCTGTTCTTTCTAGGGATTAACCTTACAAACATGTAGGACAGAACCCAAAAAAGCAACCTTAGTACCAAAAGGGTTTATAGGGCTTAGGGACATGAATCATGGACCCAAGAGTGGGGCGTCAGTCATCAAAGCGCAATATGAGCTGGAAACGGGGTCTATATACGCCTTATATAGTATCAAAGTCCCGGGTAGTCGTAGACATGCCGAAAACCTGTACGTACTAGAATTATTATTGCTATTACCAGAATCCCAAGTATCAATTATTGGGTACATGGAATTAGGTGTGTTAAAGGTCCTCAGGTTGGACCCAGAAATGAGGCCGAAAGCAGTACATGGCCTGTTTATAGCCCACATGTGGGTAAGATTGTCGTCTTCAAGATGCCTGCAACATCCTATGGTCCAACCTGAGGGTGCTTTCTTCAACCCCTCAATGTGCCAATGTGTGTGTTCACGTTGAAACATGATACTTCGAAGGAACCTGCGTATAGGTTGCCATGCTTCCGATATGAAACTGAAGTTTTCGCGGGAGCTTCGCGGGGATTACAAGGTTTGCACTGCCAATTGGTGTTTATCTAGTTTCTGCGCGAATTTCTGTGAGGACTTCAGGGAAACGTTCAGGGTTCAGGGTGTTGTAGCCTGTCGGCTTGTGTACGACCAGCGGAAGCAACAATTGCTCATCTCATAGCCTGCCCTACACTTATGCCTGTGTGAATTTCGGTGGTCCTCTACTCCAGCACATGCACGCATCATACCCATCAAGCACGCCCTCCGCATATGTCACCTGGAGCCTTCATCCCTACAACGCTAATTTGGAGTTTCCGGACATTCTTCCTATACACATGTCTAGCTACCGTTGTTGATTCCCCACTCTGTGCGTCCTCCATTCCTTTTTGTACAGCTGTACAGACTGAAGCCCGCATGGAACTCTGGCCACATGATGCATGTGATGAAGCAGCATACCTGTTGCCTTCACCAAGGGTCCAGGTACTTATGCGATATATACATATATATATATGTATGTATTTAGGCTTCCAAGTGCTGACATAGGAAAGTTTTTTTGCACAACAAGTAGACAGCAATAGAGGCGCCTGGACCCTTTGGGCTTTGTTGTGCCAAGGAATCTGGCATACTCCGGCAAAGATGTGCAGCTGCAGCTTCTGAAGCAGGCAGGCGGTTTTTTTCGAGATTGGGGTATAGGGTTCAGGTTTCGGGTTGATGTGTGTTTTCTCAAAATTCGGCGTGAAGGGGATCGCCAAATAAGTGCCTTGTATAGAAAAATCAATATGTTGCGCAGCTCCGGCATGATATTTCCAAATATGCCGCACACAACTCTAACAAGGACCCTGGTACCCCTCTTCGCTTTATCCTGAGGGTCTGCAGGGCACCCACCAATTGAGAAGTCGCAATGATGGCCGTGGCTACTCCATATCTCGCCGCCTTTATACCTGCCTGCAATGAGGGCCTTAACTCCGTGACACTGGGTAGAGAGCTCGTTATTCAGGTATTTCGCTTAAGGCCCTTGGTTACTCAGATCCCCATTCCGTGAACCCTAGAAACCCTATCTAGAGAGTCATGATGTCGTGAAGGTGCCTAGATAGTGGCCAATATTATGATCCTAGATTCCTCGCATAAATTGTGCTAATTATGGGTGCCTCAAATATATCCGCCATCATTTAGGAACCTCTAATCTAATACAAGGAGGCTGGGACAATGTAAACAAAACGGCTGGGACAATGTATCGGTAATTACCCAGGCTACACAGGTATCAACCAAAGGCAAAGCTCAAATCATGCAAAATTGAAGTCTGCAAGGTTTGTCACCTGAAAGGCCACCACAGCCCAAAAGCGCCACTAGAGTAGTTTGTTGTAGCTTTCATCCCGGCGCTCTGAGTCTGGTTCGCAGTATGTGTCGCAACGTTGCGGTTCTTTTCGGGCAGTTCATCTTGAAGACGTTCTAAGTCCCCACTCAAAACTAGAGGGCTGCATGGCAGCACAGAAGCACAGCTGCAGAGATCACAGTCCAGTGGGAAGGGCTGAAGAAGCATTGCTGCTCGCCATCAAGGCTTCTGTTCCAGCTCGAAGTGCTTTGTCAATCATATTCCCTATATCATAATATAGATATAATCCCAATATGTACCCTATTATAATATAGATATAACCACAATATATTCCCTACTATAATATAGATACAACCCTTTAAAGCATCAGAGTGGGCAGAGCCATGTGGGCCACCTAGGCGACTGCTACAGTCTGGCCCTACTTGGGGGTTCGTGCAGTTGATCGTCTAAATCCTCCATAACTTTCGTATGTTAGAACACCATACTTTCCGAGGTATGAGGTGCCTAGGCCTATGCAGGTTTTTTAGTATCAACAATATGAACTAGAGTCTCCCAAGAATCCTCAATCCCCGCTACTTTCTAGGATCCCTGTAGGTACCCCTTTTTCGAGAGCCCCCCAAAGTAGTCAGAGGAAGATGATATCGAGCCTTCAGAAACAGGTGTTGGAGAGCGTGCGCAGGGGTGATGCAGAAGAGGCTGAAGAAGACTGACGCATGGCAAATATTCAGATTTCATCGCAGCCATAGAAATCTGAGATTCCAGCTGCTGGTTGGTATGAGAAAGTATGCCCCCTCTACGTAGGCCATTGTTGTGTTGCATGGTCTTGTGCCGGACCGAAGCGGCTACCAGGACGAGGTTGTCAAACAACGCTTCATGATATACCTCGTGTTACTTTAGTCTTACTATGGAGTCCGAATCAGGCGTTCCAGTGTAGAAAAGTAATTTTCAGATGAGACACTACTAGCTCCCATGCTTAGCCTGAACCGAAGTGAATAATCCATGACACAATGCGGTAAGCTGGGAGACCTAATGCATAAGCATGTTTCAGCTGGGGCTTTTGGTGATTGATGAAAGGTTTCTCCATAAGCAAGCAGGACCGGATGCTCCGCAAGGTCTGAAGGGTTTTATGGGACGGCCCTACAGGTGTTACTACCGAAGATGACGGAGTCTTGTCAACAATCAGACACTTTCAAAAACCAAAAGCAGATGCACGCTTCTAAGGCAGCATGCCGGAACCAGCAGCCGCAGCTAGCTTCTTGACTTCCTGTGGAGGCGCTTACAAATGCCTCTCAGTGCACATGGGCGGTTGTCAAAATTATGGTCCCTTTTTGGGTCCCTATTATAATACGGCACCTAATATTTAGGGTGCCCAAAAAGGGACCATAGTTTTGACAACCACCCACATGCCTCACTGAGATTCGTGGCTTCTAGCAGCCTTTTGGGGCAGTAGTCATACACCATGTGGGTGATGTGTTTGGGCATCTAACTTGATTAGCTAGATTAGCGCCTTGTAAAAATCTGTCCGCTAGGGCAGGACAGAGCAGCACCATGCAAGAGCTAGACTTGTGAAAGCGCTTCGTTAAGAAGATCTGAGGTCTACCTAGACCCCAAAAGTATCTAAAATAATGGCCCAAAAGGCTATAATTCTACATACTTTAGGGGTCAAGGTAGTAGGTTCTGTTTGGATCCCTGCGCCTGCTCGTACTAAATAACCTTCCTGAACCCACATGAGTAGTATTTTATTTGGGGATATTATGGTACCCACTATAAAGTAAGATTGTATCCTCCTTTTGGGGTATAGTATTTTTTACAAGGACTATAATCTTACTAGGTCAACCACCAAAAAATCCTACTCACATGTCTTTGGATTTTTGCAGCTTCCCGGCCAGACCGCGGGATGTAGGAGTCCACTGTCCCTTAGCCCTTAGCATATAGTCCCCCTTAAGTAGATAGAATATGGCTTTGGGTATATTGTAATGAGATCCCCATATACCCCATATTCTATCTACTTAAGGGTACTCTGCAAGAGAAATGACTCTGTTGGCTATGAAGCCATTGCTGCCGGCAGCTTGAGTCCCAATCCCCTATAACTTGAAGTCTTGCGTCCTGGCAACGCCTACAGAATGATGTGCGTGTGTTGCAGCTGTTCGACTATACACTGCTCTGCCCTACGCTCACCACTACATCCTACGGCCAGAACCCTAGACCTCATAGGGGAGCTTTTTTGGAAGGGAGACCTCTATAGCCTCCTTATATGATCCTCGTACATATTTAATGAAGGTCAATGGGAAGCTTTATTCTGCGACGGTGCCATATACTTCTAACACCCAGGTCGCGGAAGTGCTGCTTCACGCGAGACACGCGAGCCTTCGCCGCCCGAGAGGGCCGAGGGCTCTTCTGAGCAGAAGGCGGGGTATTCATTAAGATCGGATTTTACCGAAATGGGGCACTGGGGCAGCTTTGGGGTTTTAGGCACTGTTTGGTTCAAGAGTGCCAAATTCAACAGGCATACTTTTGCCAGCTTAGGGGGCTTTACAAATTGTTCATCCCGCTGAAGTTGTTGCAGGTTCAGGGCCAGTCAACTCTATAAACTGAGGTATCTGCAACCCAACGCAAGGTAGCTGGACGTCTGCTTACACTCAAGTCGTGCTTCCTATTCAACACCCGAGAGTGCTGCATATTGATAGTGGGTCGGTGCTAGGAGCACCTGAGGCCTTCACTCAAATCTGCTTTCCATATCGTTTCAGAAGTCAGATTCGATAACAATTCCATGCTGTAAAAAGGGCTCCACACGAATGTCCCATCCTCACCTTCCGCCTTAAGCAGTACATTCTGAGACCCCCTTCAGGTGGGGAGCTTTCGCGTGGAAGCTTATCTTAGCCTAGTATCGATGTAACTAGTGATGAGTTCCCTTGTCTCCCCATACCCGCTGCATGCCATTTTTGAAGCTCCCCACATTCGAGCTTCCCTGTAAGGATGAACCCAAACTCTAAACCCTGCAACCCAAACCATAGACCCCGCGGACCCTTCGTCCTAAACCCTTAAGCCCTCGACCCTAAACCCTCGAACCCTAAGCCCTTAACCCTTAAGCCTTAAATGCTAAGCCTAAAACCCTCAAACCCTAAACATCCTCCCCGGATGCAGGGAATGTGTTTTGCAGGTCTCCTTAGCAAGCCTGAGCCTCCTGGCAGATACGCTTACTGCTTTAGGGTTTCGGGCGTAGGGTTTAGGGTTTAGGAGGGCTTAGGCTTTAGGGCTTAGGGCTAAGAATATCTTATATGGGAATAAAATAGAGATTATGTTCCCTCATCCCCTAGTAAACACCAGGAAGCAGAGACATCAGGCTTCCCAGGAATTAGCAGGTTTCTTGGAGCTGGGATTCCGAGCATCGTTGCACTCATTTTAATGTAGAGCACCCGAACCCTAAACCCTAATTACACCCTTAAGTCTCTAATGTGATATGTCCATAAAGAGGGGGGGGCGCAACATAGACCCCAAAATACTATAGTCCTTATTGTAGGGACCCCTAAAGTGGCGCCCCTAATCTTGGGAAACCCTAAACCCTAAAAAGTAGTTTCCATTTCCATAGCATCCATCTAGATTCCATTTAAAGGTACCCCCTATTCTTGGGAAACCCTAAATATGACCCCTATATAACCCATACGCCCTAAACTCAAACTGAACCCTAAACTCTCCAATCTGCTAAGGAGTTCAAGGCCGCTGTTTGAAGACACTCTTTCATGTGAGCTATAGTCTAAACTCCTTAAAGGGGCTTATATAGGGTTTAGGGATACGGGTTTAGGGATTAGGGTTTAGGTTTTAGAGTTTGAGCTCCTTAAAGAGGGTTATATGCGGGATTATATAGGGGCTACTAAGGGGGATACCAGGAGTTTAGACTGTTGCTCATGTTTTGTTGTTTGGCTTTGGGGCCATAAAAGAACTCAGACGATCCCCTCAAAATCAATCTCCACAGATCTTAGAACCGAGGGAGTATTCAAGAGGACGTGCGTTTGTTTGTGATTGCTTGCCACAAAATTAAGCCTTTAAACCTAAGATTGAGTAAGCCCATGTTGCTAGCAACTTCGGAGGCTTTCAACCTTAGCCAAATGTACAGTTATGAGCTGGTTTGCAAGAATGGCTAAGACATGGGCGTGTGCTCAGATGAGTTCTCTACTCGGCAGTCTGATGCCAAGGGTTTTTTCGTATATGTAATGTGGGCATGGTTTTTCTGTCCGTATCCCTGCATGCACAGTTTGAGACATCGGGTTCGAGGAGCCCTCACATTGCAGAGTCAAGCCTCCACGTTACAATTATCAAGTCTTCAAATTCTGAAGTCGCAAGGGCCTCTAAGGGTGCTGATCTCTGAGCAGCAGGATATGTTGTGGCTGAAACTTGCGATTTTTGCAGACGGGGATTTCCAAGGAGGGACAAGCGGTCATGGTTTGCAGTGAGTTCCTTTGCAGGTAAGTTGTTCCATCGGCGTTGGTCCAAGCTGATTGCCCCTCAAACTCTTGTCCTGCAGCAATGCGACAGGTGGATCTGCATGGTATATGTGGATATTATGATGAGATACCCAAAGCCATGTTCTATCTACTTTAAAAAGGATTATAAACCGACAGCACAGATTGTGACTCTCGTGCCCGGGCGTTCAGAAAGAGATCCTGCAGGGAACGCGCAATCCACACTCCGCAGCATTCCGCAGCAGTGTATCAAGGAAACAGTGAGGTCTGTGAAAGCAAGCTTCTTGTCCTGCAAAATGGCAAAGCAAAACCCCAAACAGCAAACATCTGGTTCCGTTGTTCGGTTTATTTTGCAACACGGACGAGTGAAAACACATATGTTAGGTTGTCACAAATCGTGACCCCTTCAGGGTCCCCAGTATAATACGGCCACTATCACATGCAGTGTCCCCGCAAAACGGGCAGAATTTTGGTAAGGCCCCTTCATATGACAATCCCGAGTTGCCTATGACCCCTATGCAGGTGACCCAATGAAGGGTCCGCGTATCTGTATGGTTTACAGTCTTAGAATGTCTCAGAGGTGTAGGGTTTAGAGTCGTCCAAGTATCTGTATGGTTTAGAGTCCTAGAGGTGTATGTAGTGTTGAGGGGCTTAGACAGTTTAGTGGGCTTGTTCCTTTTTGGATCTTCTTTGGGGTGGTATTGAAAACCTAGCCCTAAATTTCTTGTTGAGTTCAAGTATAATAGGGACACACATTATCAGCAACAACAACCCAGTAGGTATCTATGTCACAAACCATGTTTCAAACTAGATCATATATGCGGATCTCTAAGGCCCAAACCCTACACCTTCAACCCTAAACATCCGGACCCTGATCCTCAGCCCTATTTATGACTAAACCCTGAACCCTGTAGTGAGGTGGCGGGCTGGATGGGTCGTACACCGTGGCTTCTTCCGTCTCTTGGATGAAGGGTGCAAGCCCTTAGGGCTTAGGATTCATGGCTAAAGGGGCCTTGGTAGCCGTAAACTTTCAAATTAGAACCCTATAGCTGCCTATAGTTATCATGTGACTGCATGAGGTCCCATTTTGGTGGGTTGGTGTTACCAAAGTCCCCCTGCTCTACCTTGGGACCAAACCCTAAGAGTCGAAGTTTATAGATAGCACCTACATTAGGCTATCTGGAGTCGGGCTCAAGAAAAGGTTATGTGGGTATTTGAAACGTTCGCGAGATGTACGCACGTGGACAGCGCAAGCATACTTGGGAAGTTTTTCCTTTGGCCCATTCTTGGAACAGATATGCTCCCGAGAGCAGCTTGGTGTAGACCAGGTGTACATATCACCGATTGCTGTTGGAGTTGGTCATCAGGTGCTTGCTTTTTTTTGCTGCTCGAATCACCGTGGAATTTAGAAATAATTTCATGTTGATTTCCGCAACTGCCTTGCCATGTCTAAACCGCTTCGCGTTGCTTCCCATCATTCCCACCACTGCCGTTTTGGACATGAATTTGCTGCTGCGGCTAGCGGGGTTGCAATGCTCTTGAATGTTCAAGAACCAGTTCCCTGTTATCCCAGATCTCCATCAGAATTAGATCGCCCACGGAAATGATTTTTGTTGGGTCCTGTATCATTCCTTAAAATGCTGACCCCAATCCTCTGCTGTAGGTCCTCAGTACAAGGGACTGAGGAAGTTTTGCACCGTCTCGCAGACTCTACGGCATTCGGGGTTCCTGGTGGTGTAAGATTTCCTCAATCCACAATGTGTATCTACTTTGTGGGTACTGCGGTTGATG